ATCTCATATCTCTGTGTCCTCTCTCCCTCAGGAAAGGACGGGCGAATGCCTCAGGCGCACCGGCACCAGTGTGGCTCTGACTTCCATCAATAACATGATCGCCTTTTTCATGGCGGCTCTGGTGCCGATCCACTAAAAGGGGAGGGGCCAGTGATACATGAGGAGGGAGCTGTGTGGGGATGAATGGTTGAGCGGTTAGGTTGAGGTGGGATCGGCTTCCCTGAAGAGATGAGTCTTTAGTGCAGGGGTAGCCAAACCTCCGGCCCTCCAGCTGTGGGTGAAACTACAAACCCCGTGATGCATCTCTCTCCGGGAGTCATGTCTGTGAGAATCTTGCAATGCCTCATGGGATTTGTAGTTCCACCACAGCTGGAGGGCCGGGGTTTTGGTTACCCCCTGCTTTAGTGAATGCCTAAAGGCAGTCAAGGTGGGCGACAGACGGACAGGTTGGGGTAAAGAGTTCCAGAGGATGGTAGAGACTCTAGAGCAGTGGTGCCCATTAGGTGGATGGTGATCTAGCAGTGATGCTGGTAGATGAGGAAGGGGGGGAATGGCGGCCCCTTTATTCCATGTTGATATATTTATTAAGCTGTGCACACATGATTACCTATTAGCCCGAGTCGGCTGAGCTGAGCTCCCCGACACCTTTCTGGTGGACTCGGGGGGGTGAAGTGCTATGTATTACATCAAAGAATATTAGATTACACAGCAAAATACAGCAAGGTGAGCCAGGAGAGAGCGCGGGGAGAGACGGCCAGGAGAGAGAGCGGGGAGAGACAGCCAGGAGAGAGAGCGGGGAGAGACAGCCAGGGGAGAGAGAGTGGAGAGACAGCCAGGAGAGAGAGAGAGGAGAGACAGCCAGGAGAGAGAGAGAGGAGAGACAGCCAGGAGAGAGAGAGAGGAGAGACAGCCAGGAGAGAGAGAGAGGAGAGAGACAGCCAGGAGAGAGAGGAGAGGAGAGACAGCCAGGAGAGAGAGGAGAGGAGAGACAGCCAGGAGAGAGAGCGGGGAGAGACAGCCAGGGAAGAGAGAGGAGAGAGAGAGCGAGTGAGGTTTTTTGTTCGTTGGTAGATCTCATGTAGCTCGCCATTTGAAAAGTAGATCTTGACACAAAAAATTGTGGGCACCCCTGAGAGAGAGAAGTCCTGGAGGCGAGCATGGGAGGAGTTGACAAGGGAGCTGGAAAGCAGGAGGTCTTGTGAAGAGCGGAGGGGACGGTCAGGGTGATACTTTGAGACAAGGTTGGAGATATAGCCGGGGGCGGAGTTATGGACGGCTTTGTAAGCGATTGTTAATATTTTGAATGATGATATTAGGGAATGATTTATGAAACGCTGGCTCGGTGATATTGGCAATATATTGGCAATCAGCACGTGGTAATTGCACAGCGGAGTAAACAAGGGCCGTGGTGAAAGTTGTTGGGGGGCGGGTCTTGTAGGGGAATTGCATGTGCGGGGTCCGAACTTACAGTTCCAGCCATTGCGGTGGCGGAGGGATGACGGCCTTCTCAACACGTCCAGTTTATTTCAACCGAAAGGACAGAAATGGAGATTCTTCTTGGAGTCTAGAAAGTGATATCAGGGAGAGGGGGTGAGGGGTCTCGTCCATTCACTGTCCATCCTTCCCAGTGACCCCGGAGGCCGGTGAAAGGTGACACCTTTACCAAAGGTCCCTAATGGCGATGGGCAGAGCAGATCAGGTGAAAGGTGACTTCAGTACAAAGGGCTCGGATGCATTCAGATGTGACTTCCCTGGGGGCGGTTTGAGGAGGGGGAGGTTTTCTTGGCTCGCCTCTCTGGGTGGTCTGGGAGATAAGGCCAGAACATAAGGATGGACAGAAGGTCTAGGGATGTCAGGATGTGCACGATATACAATGTGCTGTGTGTGGAATGTTTTTACAGCTTTATCTACAGTCGTAGGGGCCTTATGGTTATTGTGTGTCCTGCTGTCTAATGATCACCTCGTTATCAAAGTGTTTGAATAAAATTAGGCAAGACAAGGGGGGCTTCATAATTAGAACTTGTCCCAGCATGGAGGTTGCATGTCCTCCAGGGTTTGTATATTGATAGGTTTATTGGCCTTTATCTCGACTGGCCCCCCAGTTTGTCTGTAATGATGGCTCTGATCATCTCAGAAGGTCGAGCAGATGTGGGCGGCTTGAATGGTGTACAGTACTACGGATCTCATTCGTGTCTTCATTTTGTCCCTTCCAGGCTGCTGTAGTGGTTGTATTCAATTTTGCGATGGTACTGTTAATATTCCCGGCCATCTTGAGCTTGGACCTGCAGCGGCGGGAGGACCAGAGGCTGGATATCCTCTGCTGCTTCTACAGGTAGGGGGATAAAGAACTACAAAAGGTCAAATGTGTTCTGAGGTGACATCTTTGGGTCTCTGAAGTGACCAGTCTTTCTTTCCTATTATTTCAGTCCCTGCTCTTCCCGAGTCATCCAGATTCAGCCTCAGGAAATTCCCGATGCCAATGATAATCACACTTACCACCCGTCCTCGTACGGCAACCCCACAATCACCACCAGTACACAGATCACCACCACCGTGCAGGCATTCACCCAGTGTGACCCCTCTGGACACCATATTGTCACCATTCTGCCGCCCACCTCCCAGATCTCCACCTCACCATCGGTCATCGTGCCCACGATGGATCCTCTTGGCTCCCAGGTCTTCAACTCCTCCAGCTCCACCCGGGATCTGCTGGCCCAGCTAGATGACAAAAAAGCAAGCCGAGAGTGCGTCCCGCTGCCCTTCCTGAAATGGAGTCTGTCTGAGTTTGCCCGGGAGAAGTACGCCCCGCTGCTGCTCAAAGCCGAAACCAAGGTGATTGCGCCTGAGCACACTGTGAACTTAGCTCACTAAGCATGATGGGTAATACTGGACCTGGATACTCATCAATCTGCTTTCTTCTTTCCGCAGGGAATCGTGGTGGCCTTGTTCATGGCGTTGTTAGGCCTCGGCCTCTATGGAACCACCATGGTCCACGATGGTCTTTACCTGACTGACATTGTCCCCCGCGAGACCAAGGAATACAACTTCATCTCCGCCCAGTTCAAATATTTCTCCTTCTACAACATGTTCATCATTACCAAAGGCGGCTTTGACTACCCGAAAGCCCAGGCGTCACTCTACGAACTTCACGACTCCTTCGGCTCCGTCAAATATGTTGTGCGAGAAGAGGGGAGGGAGCTGCCCAAAATGTGGCTCCATTACTTCCAGGACTGGCTGAGAGGTGAGACGAGAATGATCAGCAAGGTTTTCATTGTAGTCTTCTGCTGTCCCTCAGTGGCAGAGGAACTGCAAATCCCAGCACACTTTTCAGTCTCATGGCTAGAATGTTACAGTTGGCTACAGGTAGGATAAAGAAAGTCAACTGGTAGGATAAAGGAAGTCAACTGGTGGGTTAGAGAAATTCCACTGGTAGGATAAAGGAAGTCAACTGGTAGGATAGAGAAAGTCAACTGGTAGGATAAAGGAAGTCAGCTGGTGGGTTAGAGAAATTCCACTGGTAGGATAAAGGAAGTCAACTGGTAGGATAGAGAAAGTCAACTGGTAGGATAGAGGAAGTCAACTGGTGGGATAGAGAAAGTCAACTGGTAGGATAGAGGAAGTCAACTGGTAGGATAGATAAAGTCAACAGGTAGGATAGATAAAGTCAACTGGTAGGATAAAGGAAGTCAACTGGTAGGATAGAGGAAGTCAACTGGTAGGATAGAGGAAGTCAAGAGTTAGGATAGAGAAAGTCAACAGGTAGGATAAAGGAAGTCAACAGGTTGGATCGAGAAAGTCAAGAGTTAGGATAGGGAAAGTCAACAGGTAGGACAGAGTAATTCAACAAGGATAAAGGATAAAGGAAGTCAACAGTAAAGGCCAACCCAATGGCAACTGATTGTAAGTGGTTGCGGCTGACCAAGTGTGCAGCCAGGGCGCCCAGACTCTTGTGCGGACGTTCTCTATCTCTCTAGACTTCCTGGTGGAGAGAAGATTGGAGTTAACAAGGTTCTTGCAGTTCTGGGTTTTTCCAAGCTATGACCTTTCCCATATTAAATATCAAGAGCTCCAAAAGAGATTTCTCTGCCCTCTTTGGGGCCATCGACCAATCAGAGCAGAGATAGCTGAGGAGCTCCGTGAGGCCGTTTTCCCTATTTCTGGCTTTACGTTCCTAAGACTGAACCGGCCTCACAACGGGACGATTGAAATGTTTTAGAAATTGTAATTGAAACCTTCTTTCCGGCCTCTGTTCTCATAATCTCCGCGCCTCCCCCAGGTCTCCAGGCCGCGTTTGACAAAGACTGGGAATCTGGCCGCATCACGCCGGACAACTACCGCAACGGCACCGAAGACGGAGTCCTGGCCTACAAGCTTCTCATCCAGACCGGGAATAAGAAAGACGCCTTCAATCTTAACCAGGTGAGTCCATCGTACGGAGCCGCTGAGTGTTCAAATGAAATGTTCCGAAGAAGAACTTCCCTCTCCTGGACTGGAATGTCTTCCTCCGATGTCGCTGCACACCGGGGAGCTCCTCACAATGCGCATTAGAAGCTGCAGCGAGTCAGATAGAGCTCCGCCTCATTTCCTGGCTGGAGGACGTCCAGCATCATCTAGCGTTTTCCTGCCCGGCCCGACTGTCCCTGGCCCCGCCCCTTTTTTAGTCATTGTTTTTTTAGTTGTCAATCAGAGAGGCTCAGCATCATATGTGGGCATTGCCTAGGTTGGTCTGCATGGAAACACAGCAGGAATGCCCACAACGCTAAGAGCCAGCCCTTGCTTGCATCAGGACTGAGGGCTGTTGAGAGGAGCACTGATGCAGGGTGCTGTGATCATCACAGCACCCTGCATCAGTGCTCCTCTCAACAGCCCTCAGTCCTGTGTGATGTTTTAAGGAAGCTTTGTAAGGCACCCTGCCAGCTCCTCCCACCAGCTATTACCTGCCTGCATTACATAGAGAAACACAGACACCCAGTGATGGCATCACGGGGGTATAAAATAACATGCTAATTAAAGGTTTCATTAGCATGTTGACGATGGGGAAGGGAGGAGCCCGGGAGAGCACAATATATGCAGAACAAATGTCCGCTTTAATCAGCGCCGTCTCTAATCAGATGTTTCCTCCCGAACAGTTGAGCAGTCGGCGTTTGGTGGATGAGAACGGACTAATCCCTCAGGATGCCTTCTACATCTACCTGACAGTTTGGGTCAGCAACGATCCTCTGGGCTATGCTGCCTCCCAGGCAAATTTCTACCCCCAGCCGCCTGAGTGGATCCACGACCGCTACGACACGACCGGGGAGAACCTGAGAAGTAGGTTTATTGTGGTGAAAACATTGATTGCTACCAATAGAAGTGACTCCGGATCCTGACCTCTCTCTCTGCGCTCCCTCTCTCTCCAGTCCCAGCCGCAGAACCCATCGAGTTCGCACAATTTCCATTCTACTTGAACGGCTTGCGCCAGACGTCGGACTTTATCGAGGCGATCGAGAGCGTGCGATCGGTGTGCGACGAGTTCGCGAAACAAGAAGTGTACAGCTACCCCAGCGGGTACCCCTTCCTCTTCTGGGAGCAGTACATCGGGCTCCGGCACTGGTTCCTGCTGGCCATAAGCATCGTGCTGGCGTGTAGCTTCCTGGTGTGTGCCATCCTCCTGCTCAATCCGTGGACTGCTGGCATCATCGTACGTACACAGAGATTCCCGAACATTCCATGTTTTTAGATTGCATTGCTAGATACTGTTATGTGGCTAGGAGCTAGGAGTACATGGCTAGGAGTACCATCATGTGGCTAGAAGTACTTCTATATAGCTAGAAGTACCACCATGTGGCTAGCAGTACATGGCTAGGAGTACCATCATGTGGCTAGAAGTACCATCATGTGGCTAGGAGTACATGGCTAGGAGTACCATCATGTGGCTAGAAGTACCATCATGTGGCTAGGAGTACATGGCTAGGAGTACCATCATGTGGCTAGAAGTACCATCATGTGGCTAGGAGTACATGGCTAGAAGTACCATCATGTGGCTAGGGGTACATGGCTAGGAGTACCATCATGTGGCTAGAAGTACTTCTATATAGCTAGAAGTACCACCATGTGGCTAGCAGTACATGGCTAGGAGTACCATCATGTGGCTAGAAGTACCATCATGTGGCTAGGAGTACATGGCTAGGAGTACCATCATGTGGCTAGAAGTACCACCATGTGGCTAGGAGTACATGGCTAGAAGTACCACCATGTGGCTATCAGTACCATCATGTGGCTAGGAGTACATGGCTAGGAGTACCACCATGTGGCTAGTAGTACCACCATGTGGCTATCAGTACCATCATGTGGCTAGGAGTACATGGCTAGGAGTACCACCATGTGGCTAGTAGTACCACCATGTGGCTATCAGTACCATCATGTGGCTAGCAGTACATGGCTAGGAGTACCATCATGTGGCTAGAAGTACCACCATGTGGCTAGGAGTACATGGCTAGAAGTACCACCATGTGGCTAGGAGTACCACCATGTGGCTATCAGTACCATCATGTGGCTAGGAGTACATGGCTAGGAGTACCACCATGTGGCTAGAATTACCACCATGTGGCTAGAGGTACCTCCATATGGCTAAAAGTGCCACCAGGTGACTAGAAGAACCACCATGTGGATAGCAGTACATGGCTAGCAGTACCACCATGTGGCTAGCAGTACATGGCTAGGAGTACCATCATGTGGCTAGAAGTACCACCATGTGGCTAGGAGTACATGGCTAGAACTACCACCACGTGGCTAGGAGTACCACCATGTGGCTATCAGTACCATCATGTGGCTAGGAGTACATGGCTAGGAGTACCACCATGTGGCTAGTAGTACCACCATGTGGCTATCAGTACCATCATGTGGCTAGCAGTACATGGCTAGGAGTACCATCATGTGGCTAGAAGTACCACCATGTGGCTAGGAGTACATGGCTAGAAGTACCACCATGTGGCTAGGAGTACCACCATGTGGCTATCAGTACCATCATGTGGCTAGGAGTACATGGCTAGGAGTACCACCATGTGGCTAGAATTACCACCATGTGGCTAGAGGTACCTCCATATGGCTAAAAGTGCCACCAGGTGACTAGAAGAACCACCATGTGGATAGCAGTACATGGCTAGCAGTACCACCATGTGGCTAGCAGTACATGGCTAGGAGTACCACCATGTGACTAGAAATACTGCCATGTGGCTAGGAATACCACCATGTGACTAGAAGAACCATCATGTGGTTAGCAGTACATGGCTGGAAGAACCACTCTGTGACTAGAAATACTGCCATGTGGCTAGGGATACCATAATTCTTTACGTTATTGATCTTATTGGGCTCATTAAACAGATGTCATGTTTCTTTGGGCCCGCAGGTCTTTATCTTGGCTATGATGACGGTGGAGCTGTTCGGAATTATGGGCCTCATCGGCATTAAGCTGAGCGCCATTCCAGTGGTCATTCTGATTGCTTCCGTGGGCATCGGCGTTGAGTTCACCGTCCATGTGGCTCTGGTAAGTCACCATTTTAATAGGCCGCCTCACCACCCATGTGACCAAATTTAGCACGGACAAACTTGATGGAGATTCTGCTTCCAGTTGATCAGCATGCTGGAGAATGATTACCTCGTACTTCTAATCGCTCACTTGTGGTTAGACCAAAAGAATGTGTTTGTTTGTTGCACGCAGGGCCGGCCCGAGGGGTAGGAAGAAGAGGGGGCTTCCGCCAGGGGGAAAGGGGGGGCAGGGAAGCAAAAACGTCAGGACCAGCGCTCTATGCTGCTGATTTGGGGAAGGGGGTGCCGTTTGGCAATTTTCTCCTGGGGCACTGGAGGACCTCGCAGCACCTGGATATAAAATGATGTCTGTATTCTCTTCCAGGGTTTCCTCACCGCCATTGGCGACCGGAACCAGCGCTCGATCCTCGCTCTGGAACACATGTTCGCTCCGGTTTTGGACGGCGCCATTTCCACCCTCCTCGGAGTCCTGATGCTCGCTGGATCTGAATTCGATTTCATTTTAAGGTACGCTTCCAAAAGCCATTTATTATCCGTCAAGCAACCCCACCTACCCACCCCCCGATCTGTACAGCGAAACCCCGCCCCTCCGGGCCCTCCAGCTCCCCCCC